AAAATCTTTTTAATTAAACTTTAATCTGTCTCGCCTCATTATCATTCCTAACGCAAATTAACTTTTATAACAAAGAGGAGGTATTTAAAAGAAAATATTAGTAGAGAAATAATTTATTAAAATCTCATTTTACCTTTTGAGAGAGGAAATGGGGAACTATATGCCTATGTAAACTTTTCAAAGTATTTTTATATTAAAAAAAAACAACAAAATATTAAGGGATAATTTAAAAACCCCCCTTGAGGTTTTATTCCATAATTACTAACCTCTCCCATTGTTTATATTATTATGTTTTCCTCATTCATTTTTATTTATTGTAACAATTTTTTAAATTATTTATGTACTATTAATATACGTGAATTATAATATGACCAATTTATTTTTTTGGAATATACTCTTTTATTTATTAATTTATCTCGTTATCTTTTTAGCAATCTCAATTCCTCTCCAAATGATATTGCTTTAATTTCATATGTCCCTTTTTTTTTCCTTTTCAAATCTAATTTTTTCTCTTTGCTCTTTTATACCTTTTTTTTTCTTTTGCAAAAAGTCAAAATTCTCTCTTCAAAAATTTAAAAGGGCCTTTAAAAATATATAAATTTATAATTGTTTGGGCGGAAGAAGTGATGAGATGGATATTTTTTTGATTTTTCTGAGCGTATGATATCTATATTAAAATTGAATTATATTTTAAAGATGAAATTTAAGAATGAATAAGTACTTATCACTCTATCACAATCTCTATTGATAAGATGACTAAAAATAATTGTGTACCAATAGCTAAAGCATTGAAAATGATATAATTTCTCCAATATAATTACATTCAAGTCACACAACACTAAATGAATAAATTTTTTTGTGATGATTATTTAACAACAATAAAATAATTATTGTTATATTATATCCGGCAGTAATAAATCTAGAACTGTCACGACCCAAATCGGGCTGCGACTGACACCCACACTTATCCTCCTATGTGAGCGAACCAACCAATCTAAACCTTAACATTTCAATATAATATCAACAGAAAGTAATGCGGAAGACTTAAACACATTAATAAAAACCCATTCAATAACTTCTAAAAACTCAAAAACTATTATTATTATCCCCAAAATCTGGAAGTCATCATCACAAGAACATCTATCCTCAAATTACTAAAGCTAAGAGTATCTAAGAAGCTAAAATACATAAAAAGCTAGTCCATGCCGGAACTTCAAGGCATCAAGACATGAAGAGGAAGATCCAGTCCAAGCTAGAAGCATTAGCTCACCCTGAATTCCGGAGTGATGAAGACTGTCTAGAGTTGCGGTTGAGTTGAAGATGATGGCGCGTTTACTGCACTCCACAAATAACAAAGAAGAAAACATAAAAGTAGGGGGTCAGTACAAACACTAGTACTGAGTAGGTATCATCGGCCAACTCAAAATAGAAAACAGTATATATCAGATAACATCATAAAATCAACTAATATCCTTAGCATGCAGCATTTACAGTTACCATAACCCTTGGTTACAACACCAAGCACATCAATGAGGACTCACACCTCCTCATCATACTCATTTGGGAATTAGGTTCATTAGATTCAGTATATTATCATCTTTCAAGATTCATTATCTTTATTCCCCTCGTATCGGTACGTGACACTCCGCTCCTCATATACTATCTTGGTGTCGGAACGTGACATTCCGATCCTCATTCTATCTTGGTGTCGGAACGTGACACCCGATCCATATACTATCCTGGTGTCGGAACGTGACACTCCGATCCTCATATACTATCCTGGTACCGGAACGTGGCACCCGATCCATATTCTATCCTGGTACCGGAACGTGGCACCCGATCCATATACTATCCTGGTGTCGGAACGTGACACTCCGATCCTCATATACTATCCTGGTACCGGAACGTGGCACCCGATCCCCTAATCTCACTACTTTCGTTCATCAAGCCTTCTTTTACACTAAGGCATCATTATTAACAAAGTAGATTAGGGTTTCTTTTTCAAGATTTAAGATTCAATAGCTTCATCATACTTATTTCATCACAATTATATAACCACAACATGCAAACACACAATTAAGCATATAGAATGGTTTACAACACTACCCAATACATATCATTCGCTATTAAGAGTTTACTACGAATAGTGTAAAAACCATAACCTACCTCCACCGAAGATTAGTGATCAAGCAAGCAATTTCCCCAAGCTTTGTTCTTCGTTTTCTCTCTTCCTCGTTCGATCCTCTCTCTCTCTTTGTTCTTTCTACTTTTCTTATTCAAACCCTCTTTCTTTTACCCTAATTAGCATATAATTAAGAAGAAACGATGGCAATAATAACCACTAATTAACTTAAGGTTACCTCTTTTAACCCCCAAGTAATTAGACTTATTAAAATTAACCCACTAACTTTATAATTAAAGCAGGAATAGTCCAAAACGCCCCTTAAAATAATTACAGAAATCCAACCTCGCCTGGGATTACGCAGCCTGTGACGGGCCGTCGTGCCTGCGACGGTCCGTCCTGCTGCTCCGTCACAGAGTTCAGAGACTGAAATTTATTGAAGAATCTGTGACGGTCCGTCCTGCCATTCCGTCACGAAGTTCAGAGAGTCGATTTCAGGACCCATTTTTCAGAATTTCTAAGTGTTTTGAAACGAGACCCCTCGACTAAACAGGTCGTTACAAAAACCTTATAAAATACTACCAAAAACTTTCATAATTTTAAATATAATGACATTAACTTAATTATCGATAAAATAAAAATACATTATCATTAAATGTATTTTTGTTATAATGCAATTAGACCATTCTTTTGTGGTCTTCATAATGTGTTATTTAAGTGGTAAATTGCTTGGTGTATAAAATGCATGTTATCAAGAAGTTATTAAAGCATAATTAAATAAAAGAGTGCATTAAAATAATAAATTATACATAATTTTTTTCATTAAAAATAAATTGTTATGGTAAATTCGAAAATAAGGAAAATAAATATAATATTATAACTAGAGGGAAAATTAGTGATTCAAAGTGAAACTTTAGGGGAGATTTTCGAAATTATACTACTGGTAATTATATTCACAAACAACATTATTATTATAATAATTATGGGATGGTTGTGATGACTTCCTACAAATGGGGTTGTTTAATGTTGTAATGAAGATGTCAGATGATACATAAGCTGAATTATTTTGTTAATTAACACTATTTTTTCATTAAAAATTTTCAATTAGGTATTCTTATAGATATTTTGATTGGATTAGTGAAAAAAATATATTCACAGATTGTTTTTAATATTTCAATAAAAATATATTTTTCATCATATATTTTCAATTGATCTGATAAACGTAGAGTAAAAACATATATATATATATATACATCTCATTAATTCGTATTGAGAAAAACATATAATAGTACAAGTATTTTTTATCACTTGTGAACTTTTTGAGATTAACCCACATTCCCCTTTAATAAGTCATATATAATATAAATCTAAATTAATTAAATTAATAATACTGGAAAATATACTATGTGACTATTAATAAAAAGAACAAAAAAGTGGCAATGATAGAATTCTAACTAATTCTTCTTTTACAAATTCATAGTTACTTCCATCATTATCTTAAAAAAAAAAAAGAAAAAAAGTCCGTGCATATTTTTTCTTCTTTTGCTTTTTTCCTTTTCGTTATCTTTATTTCTTTTTCAGCTAAGATGCATTGAAATAACATTGTTCAATCTCAATCCATATATAGTTGGCCTAATATATAGTAGACCCTAGTAATCTCATCTTTGTTACGTCTATTCACGAATAGATCCGAGTTAAAAGTTTTAAATTTATAAATTTTAAATTTTAAAATAACTATTTCAAATATTCATAAGTATCAGATTATGACAACAGTAATAATATATCTAGTAAAATTTTACTAAAGTAAAATATATACGGACCTTATATTACTACCTCATGTTGAAGGAGAATCAATTCAAATATATCAAAATTCAAATAGAGAAAAAAGAAAACAATGAAAAAAATATAGTTATTAAATAAAAAAAAAACATTACAAAATCTACTAGAAAAGAATTCTAACAAACATAAAAAAAAGAAAACCGCATGTGGCAACACGAGATATAGACTCTAAACTTAATATTTATACGTACATACGGTATAATAAAAATAATTATTAGCAATATTTAATTCATAATTATCGTTCAATATGTATTTTTAGTAGTAATTGTCACTCTTTGTATATGTCCCTACAACCTTCAGCGACATTTGTTCTAATAACACTTAACTAATATCGGTAAAGACATTAGCACTCTTTATTAATGTCAATATTTAATGTCACTAAATTTTTATTTTTTTTAGGGATAATGCCCAAGTACCCCCTCAACCTATGCCCGAAATCTCAGAGACACACTTATACTATACTAAGGTCCTATTACCCCCCTGAACTTATTTTATTAATAATTTTGTACCCCTTTTTTGCTTACGTGGCACTATCTTGTGGGCCCAATAATGGTTGACTTTTTTTTCTGAACTAGTGCCACGTAGGATAAAAAGGGGTAAAAAATTACATATAAAATAAGTTCAGGGGGGTAATAGGACCTTATTATAGTATAAGTGTGTCTCTGGGATTTCCGGCATAGGTTGAGGGGGTACTTGGGTATTTTCCCTTTTTTTTATAATGACATATAGTGTATCTTTTAGCATGCATACACTATCAGTTCAATTAAATTCGTATCTGAACTTTTAGCTCCGCATAGACCTTTAGGGGTGACTCTATCATTGCTCCAATATAATACAACTAGAAACTTATAACCAAAATGAATAAACAACTAGTATAAATAAAGGGATTTTATTTTTATTTTTAAAAAAGAAAATATTACCTTCCTCCTTTCTATTTATACATACATAATTAATCACTTGGGCAAATCTCATTCCAATATTCTTCTTCTTGTTTAGTTCAAAAACTCTCATTTTAGAGTTAATTAATTAATTAGTGATTATGGCTTCTGAGAAAGTTGAGACAGTTATTGCTGGTAATTATTTGGAAATGGAAAGAGAAGGAGAAGAAACAAATTCAAATAATTCTGTGAGAAACAAATTATCCAATTTTTTTTGGCATGGTGGATCTGTTTATGATGCATGGTTTAGTTGTTCTTCTAACCAGGTTCCTTTTTTTATTTTCTTGCTATTCTAATATATTAATTACCACTAAAAATTTGAAATTAGTTACGAAATTTATCGTCTAATTAATTGCTAAAAGGTCTCTAACTTTGAAATTAGTGAATTTTCTTATAATTTATCGCTAATATATAGCTAAATAAAATTAACATGAGATTTTAGTTGTTTAGCTACAAAATTTTGTATGTCACTAATTTCTTGTTTTCTAATAGTGTATCTATCACGTAGTGGCAGATTCAGGATTTAAACTCAACAATTTCAATTCATAAGGTTTTTAACATAGAAAATTCAATATTGTGCATTTGAAATTATGAACTACACTAAAACAAATGGAATTAGCTATAAATTTCATTGCTTAATAACTCGTAAATACGATTTTTGATAATCTATCACTCGCTTATATATATCTCTAAATAGGATAAACAGTGAATTTTTTTGTTTAGCTATAAAATTTAAGCGGGGCCAATTCGTGTTTTGTTTTCTCTAGTAGTGATGGTTTTGAAGTTGATAATGTTTTTTCTACATATATAATTTATGCTCCAAGTGAAAAATGGTGATTTTAATATGTAAAATTGTGAAGGGGTCAATTTCATTTTTCATATTTATTTCTAGAGAAAATTAATTTTTAATTTTTTTTTCTAATATTTAATTTGTATAATTTATTAGGTTGCTCAAGTGTTACTTACACTTCCATATTCATTTTCACAACTTGGAATGTTATCTGGAATTTTGTTCCAACTTTTCTATGGTTTGATGGGAAGCTGGACTGCTTATCTTATAAGTGTGCTCTATGTTGAGTACAGAACTAGAAAAGAAAGAGAAAAAGTTGACTTCAGAAATCATGTTATTCAGGTTCGTTTCGATTAATTCAAATTCATATCAATTTATTTATTTCTATTTTTTAAATCTTTTTTTAATATATATTTGAATTTTTGCAGTGGTTTGAAGTTCTTGATGGACTACTAGGAAAACATTGGAGAAATATTGGCCTCTTTTTTAATTGCACTTTTCTTCTATTTGGATCAGTCATTCAACTAATTGCATGTGCAAGGTAATCATGTGTTCATTAAATTAGTAAAATAATAATAATAAAATATATATATAAACACAAATTTTGCAATAATATTATGAATTGATCAAGATTGGTACCCGTGATTTAAGATTAGTACGTAAATAATATGTAAATAATTAAATAGGAAGTTTTTCATTATTTAAGAGATAAGGTATAAGTAATTTCTAGATTACTATTGAAATCTCAGAGATACAACTTGACTAAACTAAGGTCATATTATCTTTGAAATTATTTTTGATTTTTTTTAATATACCTTTTGGCTGACGTAACACACTCTGTGACTCCACACAATTGAAGCGCGTGGAAGATATTTACACATCACGTAAGCCAAAAGGTGTACAAAATTTTAAAAAATGGGTTCAGAAGGGTAATAAATCCATAATTTAATTAAGGTGTGTTTCTGAAATTTCGATCATAATTTAAGGGATATTTGTACCTTTTTATATTATTTAATAAAATAAATAATACCCCAAAAACATTCTTATTATTTAATTTAATTTTTTTGTTTGTTTGTTGCAGTAACATATATTATATTAATGACAATCTTGATAAGAGAACTTGGACTTATATATTTGGAGCATGTTGTGCTACAACAGTGTTCATTCCTTCATTCCACAATTACAGAATTTGGTCATTTGTAGGCCTTCTTATGACTACTTACACTGCATGGTATCTTACCATAGCTTCTCTTCTCAATGGACAGGTGAATTATTAATAACTATTTTCTCTTTTCGCGTTTTTCGTTCGTTCATTTTCACTTGTCATATTTCACTTTACGAGAGTTAATTTAATTGATCTTTGAAACCAAATTGAATTAGCAAGGTTAATTTAGATGTCCGAACAATATATATATATACTATTAAGTTATAACAATAAAAAAAATATCTTAAAATATTAATTGATATTCGTACTGTTTAATTCTCGATAAATGAAATGTGATAAGAAAAAGTGAGCTGAGGAAGTAATTTATCAAATGAAAAGCACATTTTTAGAATTATTATTCTTTTTAAAATGCATGGCTTTTATATATATTTATTTTATTTTTTGAAATACTACAAGAAAAATTAGAATTTAAAGCTATGAAATTTTTTGCTTATAGGATGAGGGACGAATTTTACTGTTTAGCTATAAAATTTATTATAAAAAATACAAGAGACTGGTTTTGAAAAAGAAAAAAGTATAATCTATGGGAAGTGATAAAGCTTAGTTTTGGCTTGATTAAACTTTAAATATTAGAATAGCATATGCAAATTAGTACTTTTTTTGTTCTAATTATTATTTAATTGATTGTGACATGTCAAAGGTTGAGGGAGTGAAGCACTCAGGACCAACAACAATGGTTCTCTACTTCACTGGGGCTACAAACATTCTTTACACCTTTGGTGGCCATGCTGTCACAGTGTAAGTGAGAATTAATTTAAGCGAAAAAGGATAAATATATTTCGAATTATCGTTAATGTTATACAGATATCTTTAGTCATATTTTTAGAATATTGGTATCTCTACGGTTTGAAAACTAGAACATATTACCCTTTATACTAACGAATATACGCGTGTCTTAATCTTATCTATCGGTCCGATATTTATTAAATATCGAATCGACGAATAAGATTGTGACACGTGTTTCTATTTTATTTTCCGTAAGAAGGACATATATGCTCTTATTTTTTGGATAGTAGAAGTAACAATATCTGAAAAGGTAACACAGCGATATATGCATATCATTTATAATAATTTGAGCCTTTAGTTTAATATTATGTTTAACAAATCCACAAGTGGATAAATATATTTTAATTATTATATCTATATCTAGATACTCTTTTTTGTTTGTTTCACCAGAGACATAACACATGCTTATAGTAATTATTTATTAGCTCCATATCCCTTTTCCACTAGTGAGAACATGCTTCCTCAAAACCCGGTACCTAATAGTAATTAAGTTATAAATGTTCCTGCAAGGATATGGTTGAGTGGTTAGGCGGTGTATTTTTCATGTGAATTTAACTATCGTCTACTATTGAGTTATGAGTTTGTCATATAAAGCTTATTTAATGTGTTGTGATTTGCGAATAAGCAGGTTATTGTGAATAGGGATAACTCAAATATATTAACGATTTAAAGTTAAATTTAAACGGAGATCTTATATTTTAATTTATTATAATGAACTTCATGGTCATAATTTTTTTATTTAATCTTTTGAGACATATAATATTATAAATTTATCAAACTTCTAATAGTTCTTACTCTCTTATATAAAAAATGTATAACCTTTTTTTATAAATAATACTCAATATTTTTTTTAAAAAAAATACATATAACTTAGTATTGCTTAAAAAACGAGGCCCTTCAAATTAAAGAGCCTAAGGCTAACCATAAAGTGTTCACTCGAATGAGCATTTTAATTGTAAAACTTAGTTATAATTTAAAAATATTAAATTCATTAAATTTAAATTCTAAAATCGCCTTTTTACCTAATTTTGTGTGTGAATGTAGGGAAATAATGCATGCAATGTGGAAGCCACAAAAGTTCAAGACAATATATTTGATAGCAACAATTTATGTGTTAACACTAACATTGCCATCAGCAAGTGCAGTGTATTGGGCTTTTGGAGATGCACTTCTCACCCACTCTAATGCTTTGGCTTTGTTGCCAAAGACTAAATTTAGAGACTCTGCTGTCATTCTCATGCTTATTCATCAGGTCACTAACAAACCCTTTTTTCTTTTTTACATTAATACGTAAAAACGTGTTTTTTGATTCAGTCTTAATTGATATCTGTACCCTCCAACTTTAGGTATACACAAGTAGACATACACGTCCTACATGATAAATCTCACGCGATTTGACATGTAGAACATGCGTGTCTACTTGTTCAATTTTATGATTATTTAAGTGTTTTTAATGTACACCCAAAATTGGAGAGTATAGATACTAGCTGATGCCAAATTAAAGGACATGTTTATGTATTCTGTCTCTATTTTTATAAGATTTAATTTAAAGTGATTTTTGAACTTATAAATCTTTTTTGGTGTATAGTTTATTACATTTGGATTTGCATGTACCCCATTGTACTTTGTATGGGAGAAGTTCATTAGAGTTCATGAGACAAAGAGCTTATTTAAAAGAGCAATGGCAAGACTCCCTGTGGTTATTCCAATATGGTTTTTGGCAATTATTTTCCCATTCTTTGGGCCTATCAACTCCTCTGTTGGATCTCTTCTTGTTAGCTTCACAGTCTACATTATTCCTGCCTTAGCACACATGCTTACTTTTGCTTCACCATCAGCTAGAGAGGTAACCCTAGCGAAAATTCGATTCTATTGTTTTCACTCGTTGTTAATTAATTAATTAATGTGACACACTTTTCTTTTTTGACAGAACGCGGTGGAGCAACCACCATCATTCTTGGGAAGGTGGGTTGGGTTATATTGTACCAACATATTTGTTGTGGCATGGGTTTTTATTGTTGGTTTTGGATTTGGAGGGTGGGCAAGTATGGTCAATTTTGTACATCAAATTAACACTTTTGGACTCTTCACTAAGTGTTATCAATGCCCTCCACATAAGGCTTGAGTAGGATATATTGTTACTATTTATTTAAGGAAGGAACTTGAGAAAAACTAAAATACATATATGAAGTGTGTAAAAAATTATTTGGCTTTTAATTTTCTTGCAAGACTTCTTTGTTAACTTGAGTGCTAGTGGATTTTTTTTGTTGAAGAAACCTTTGTTTTTGGGGGCTTTATGTAATGTGGATTATTTGGTAATATATACGTACAATCTTTTTTTTTTTTATTGTAAGGTTTTCCCTTTTTACTATTACTATGTAGAATGAGCAAATTGCGCAAAATTCTAACTCACAAATATCAAAATACTAATTCCCTTTTCAACGAAAGTACAACACTTAAATATTATGCAAACTAGGGCTATAAGTTTTCGTGGCTTAATTCAAATGGTTAATATATTTAGAAAAGTTGTATATAAGTGTCGATATTCATAATATTATGTATGATAGGGGTTATAATCATATTCAAGTCGACTATATGTATAGTTACTTTGATCTAACATACTAACATATTTGTCTTTTGGTTATTCCATATCAAATTCAAAAATCAGTATGCGTAGCATGTGAATTTGTACTCTATCTTAGATAAATCTTCATTTTTCTATCCTTCCTTTTTGTGGGATTTGCATATATATATATATATATATATACTTGTCAACCTAATATAATTGTCTCTTTGACCCGCCCTAGCTTCTTCATTAGTGTCACATTCACCCCGGGGATTTACCTCCCCCCTAAAGTTAATTTGTCTCATTGTTGTATTTCGAAAATTCGACTTTAATACCCTAAAGTCTACTAAGACCTAATAGACCTCGCAGATTTGAATATGCGACTATTTTTCCTAGAAATGAACACAAAATTAAATATTTTGAGTCATCACTAATTTTTTTCTTTTAATTCAAACCAACTATCATATAAAATGACAAATAAGTACGTACGATGACGCAAAAATAACTATAACACTAAATCCAAATATAAAAGGCCAAAATATATTATCATTGGTGACTCATATTGAAAAAAGGCAAGTAAATCGCACTATCTTCATCAAAATTGAACCCCACATATCATGTTAAGTGTCTGGAACTTTTTTGACATGACAAACACTGGTAAGATAGATCTATCATTAGGGGAAAAATTAAACCTTATATTTTATGTAGGGTTAGACAACTTCTTTGTGAATTCCTTTTGTTTTGACATAGATTGCATGTCTTTAGCTCATTGTAATTTGAACCCAATAAAAAGATAATCTGATTTTCTTACGTCAGTGTACAGAATTATCTGATACTTATGTTAGTGGGAGGATATGCATAGGCTAACGAAACACCTAATTTTAAGAAAAGTTATATAATCTTATCGGTATTTTCAAAAATGTTTTATGGGCGAGTGTCGGGGCTGAACATAAGCCCTAGCGTAAAATTAGTAATTTCTTTAAAACTTTTTGGTTTAAATCATATTTTTTTAATTGTTGGTGTAATGATATTTCTCAACTAGTAACTATAATATATTTTTCTGCATTATAGGTTATTAATACCTATCTCAAATAAAAATTATAATATAAGTTATTTATTTAAATTTATTTGTAAAATCATTAAAAGTTTTACGTTTGTTTATTTTCTTAATAATAAAATTATAAAATTGAATATACATGCAACTACGCCCCGTAAAAGCACGAAACTTACACTTGATGTCTCGAGACTTGCACCTCAGTCATACAATATAAAATGTCATTTCACGCTCCCGCCTTTTAAAACATTGGTTCCTACTGATTAGTACATTTTAAATTTTTAGTAGGCAAGTCTTGCAAATTTTTTTAAGTCAGACACGCCATATTGGTAGGTCATTGGTCTTTTCGTGTTTTTAAATTTTAATCAAACGTGTCTAAAAATACTTTGAGTCTTTGAGTTGATATGATACTTTTTATTTGTAAATTAAAACGGCTGTTTTCAAATATAGTGATCCAATTAGGTTTGGATTAAATCTCAAAATGTGGTGCGAAATTATAATTTATTGAGATATTTCAATCTAATGATTACTATTTCAAATGGAGTTTTGTGGAGGTATTGTTCAAACTACTTTATGCTACAATTGTTGTATTCAATAGTTAAAGCCGAACTAGAGTTATAGTTTCATATATATCAGAATTTAAACGGACAATTCATTGTCTACTCATTCAGGTGTGTTTACTATGTGCAACTCAAACAAATTTATACGTTGTTAAAATCACTCGAACTAATCAAATGAATTTCTGTTGAATATAATGCAGGCTGAGCTGGTTGTAAGTAAATATTAGTTAGTTGACTGACGTATATTAATTAGTTAGCTAACAATGTAGTCAAATAATGATAATTAGTTTGATATTTAGTTAACTAATCTACAAATTGTATATAAGTAGTTTGTACATCTGTAATTCTCATTCATTCAAAAATATCTTCTCTCTTCCTTCTTCATCTTTCTCTCAAGCTCCATTCTCATGGAGTAATATCAAATCAGTGGAATAGTATTAGTTTACATGGTATCAGAGCGAATATGGATCTAGGAATTCTTTGAGGAGTACAAAATACATAGGATCGTGAGATTCAATTTTTTTTTCTATCATTCATTATTGAGTATTTTTGAAGAAGATTCAAATCTATGGGGAGCAATATCAATTACAATCATCCATTGTATTTGCATCCTTTGGATGCACCAGGTTCACTTTCAATTGAAATTTAGCTTAAAGGCATGGAGAATTACATGCTTTGGAGTCGAGCTATGAAATTAGCACTTCTGGGAAGGAACAAATCGGAATTCATGGATGGATCTGTTACGAGAAACATTTATGAAGGAGATCTACAGAGAAGATGGGATAGATGCAATGCCATTGTGATTTCCTAGTTAATGAGTAGTTTACAATCAGCCTTTCTTAGTGGAATACTTTTTAGATCTGGTGCTTATCTAGTTTGGAACGATCTTAAAGAGAGATTTGACAAGGTAAACAATTCTCGAGCTTACCATTTATATAAAGAAATACCATCTGTAGTTCAAGGTGTATCCTCTATTTCAGTGTATTATTCAAGCTGAAAGATCTTTGGGATGAACACAATTCGATTATTCCATTCCCTACATGTGCTTGTGAGAGATCGAAAGATTTTGTAGAACATTTAGAGAGGTAGAAGTTATTTCAGTTTCTTATGGGGTTAAATGATGGTTATGCTTGGCGAGATCTCAAATTTTAATGATAAGTCCTGAACCTTGTGTGAATCAAGCATATGCTATGATCATATAAGATGAAAGTCAAAAAATGCTTAATGGAGGGAATTGTGTTGTTGCAAATCGAATGGAATCTTCAGTTTTTTGTGTTGCAGAATAGGATGCCACAACCATGTATTCAACTAGAGGTTCAGGATAAGGACAATCATCTGGTTTGGGAGGTCATCAATATCAGAAGAAATATTGTGATTTCTGCAATATGAAGGGTCATACTAGGGGTGATTGTTACAAATTAATGAAATGTGAACATTGCTTGCAGAAGGGACATGTTAAGAAGACTTGCTATAAGCTAATTGGATCTCCAGAGAACTTCAAAGGGAAGAAAAGAGTAAATCTTGATACACATCCTCTTGCAAGATTAAATTTAGGATACATGAGCCTCAAGCTAAAATCTGTTGGTCCTACACCTGCTTTTACTCAGAATCAATACAATCAGATTGTCCAAATGTTGAGCAAATATTCCATAGGAGATGCAACTGCAAACATGGAAGGCAATTCCAACTATGCTATCAACACTGCCAGTGCGAATAGTGCAGGTATCCTTTCTTCTCATAATGATGATAGTGTGAAATCAGTTGTTGATACTAGAGCTACTAATTATATGATAGGTGATAAGGTTGTGTTTCAAACTAGTACATTAGTAGATGATACAGGAAAGGTTCAATTACCAACAGGAGAATCTGCAAATATATCTGACATAGGGAACTGTCAATTGTTAGGAGGTGATTTCACTAAAAATGTGTTGTGTGTGCCAACATTTAAATTCAATATTTTGTTAGTATCCACGTGGACAAAAGAATTGAAATGTTGTGTTGTGTTCTTTCCTGATTTTTATTTGTTTCATGATCTCTCTTCTGGGAAGGTGAGGGAGATTGGTAAGGAACAAGATGGACTATATGTAATGTACTCAAAGAGGGGGACAGAAAATCAACAGAAATCTTTGGCAGTACAAAGGAGGTTGATGCAATATTATGACATAACTGGATGGGACATTCTCCTATGTTAGTTTTAAGAAGATTTACAGTTTTTCAGAATAAATCATGTTTCAATATAGAAAAATGTGATATATGTCCTTTGACAAGACAAACTAAAGTTCCTTTTCCTGTAAGTGTCACTAAGAGTAGTCAATTGTTTGAGTTGTTACATATGGATGTACGGGTCCTTACAAAACATCCACATATGATGGTATGCAATATCTTCTTACTATAGTTGATGACTATTCTAGATGAACATGGGTATTTTTTATGAGAGTTAAGTCTGATGTTGTTTTTTTTTCTAAAAAACTTCATTGTTATGGTTCATACTCAATCCAATAAGAAAATTCAAGTTTTTAGATCAGACAATGGTTCTGAATTTTTTAATCAACATTATGCAAATCTTTCAATCCCTTGGTATTATTCATCAAAGTTCTTGTCCATATACTCCTCAACAAAATGATGTAGTAGAGAGGAGACATAAACATATACTTGAAACAACTCGAGCTGTTAAGTTTCAAGGTTGTTTGCTTGATAGATATTGGGGGGTTTGTATTGAAGCTGTTGTCTACATTATTAACAAGATTCTATATATTGTTTTAGCCAAGAAGACTCCATATGAACTTGTTTATCATAAGGTTCCAGATTTGAAACATATGAGGGTGATTGCTTGTTTGTGCTATGCGACTAACTTGGTCAAACAAGATAAGTTTGGGCCACGAGCAATCAGGGCTGTTATGATGGGTTATGGAGTTCATCAAAAGGGCTATAGATTGTTAGATTTGGAAAACAAGAAGTTTTTTGTCTGTAGAGATGTTCACTTTAATGAACATGTTTTTCCATTTCAGATTAAGTTGGCATATTTAGATACGAGGAACCAGGTTGTTTCTCTTATTCCAGTAGAAGATTCATTTTTTGATATTGCGACTGTAATTTTCCCCATAAGATAGTCGACTGATGCTTATATACAGTCAATTGGTGATGTTGTACAAGAAAATACCGATGATGTTATCGTACCAATTGAGCAGAATGTAGCACCTGATGATAGCAGACCACATAGATTTATTAAAACCACCTCTTTGGCACAAAGATTTTGTGATGACTAACAACAAAAGGAGTTGCCAGTATCTTATATCAAATGTTGTGAGCTACACAGGTTTATCTGTTCAATACAAGGATTTTTTATGTAATTTTTCAGCCATAACTATCACTGAACCTAGTACTTATTCAGAAGCAGTCAAAGTACAACAGTGGATACATGTCATGCAGGCAGAAGTTAGTGCCTTAGAAGATAACAAGACGTGGGAGGTAGTTCCATTACCTTAAGGACAGAAAACTATTGGTTGTAGATGGGTCTATAAAGTCAGATACAGGACAGATGGACATATAGAGAGATATAAAACAATATTTGTAGCAAAAGGTTATAGCCAAAGAGAGGGACCTAATTACTAAGAGACCTTTTCACTTGTAGTGAAAATGGTGACAGTTAGATCAGTTATTGCTTTGGTTGCAGCTCAGAAATGGCATATACATAAGATGGATGTATACAATGCTTTTCTTCAAAGAGATTTACAAGAAGAGGTATACATGGAGTTGCCTAAAGGTTTTAATGTTCTAGCTATAGATGGTCAAGCAAGAAGTGTTTGTAAATTGCTTAAATCATTGCATGGGGTCAAACAAGCTTCTAGGCAATAAAATATCAAATTGACTACAGACTTGATTGAATCAGGTTTCACTCAAAGTCAGTTGGACTATTCTTTATTCATTAAACATGCACATGGACAAAATGTTTTTGTTTTGATCTATGTAGATGATCTGTTGATAATAGGAAGTGATATGAGACTCATACAAGAGACTAAGAACATTTTGCAAACCAATTTCAAGATTAAAGATCTAGGAGAACTTATATTCTTCTTGAGCATTGAATTTGCTAGAAGTAATGAAGGCATCTTAATGCATCAAAGGAAGTATGCCCTTGAACTCATTTCAGATTTTGGGGCTAGGAGGTACTAAGCCAGTTAGAGCAACTGTGGAAGTCAATCAAAAGTTAACTTCAGTTTTATTTGATCAACATGTTCACTCACAGCATGATCCTATGTTGAATGATTCGGGTCCATATCAAAGACTAGTAGGGAGGTTACTTTATTTGACTATAGCTAGGACAGACATCTCATTCGCGATCCAAAATCTTAGTCAATTTATGCATTCACCTAAACAGTCTCACATGGAAGCTACTACCAGAGTGGTGAAGTATATAAAGCAAGCACTAAGAGTGGGAATTCTCATGTCATCTACTGTTTCTTCTAAGCTACATGCTTATTGTGATGTTGATTGGGGTTCATGTCTTACAACTATAAAATCAGTAAGTGGGTATGCAGTGAAGATATGTGATTCACTATGGAAGTCAAAGAAGTAGTTTACTGTTTCTAGAAGTTCAGCGGAGGCAGAGTATAAAAGTCTTGCTTCAACAGTTGCTGAAGTTGTTTGGCTCATTAGTCTGTTTAAGGAATTTGGATTATCCATTCAGTTTTTAGTGGATATATCATGTGATAGTAAATCTGCAATTCAAATAGCAGCCAATCTAGTATTTCATGAGCGTACAAAGCACATTGACATTGATTGTCATATTATTCGTGAAAAGATTCAGTTGGGATTAATCAATACAATCTATTTGGCATCCGCAGAGCAGCATGCATACATACTTACTAAGGGATTTCTTACTTTTCAACATGCTTATTTGATATCCTAGCTAGGTCTTAAGGATATCTTCATACCACCTAGCTTGAAAGGGGGTGTTGAACACAGTGCAGGCTAAGCTGGTTGTAACTAACTATTAGTTAGCTGAATGACGTGTATTAATTAGTTAGTTAATAGTGTAGTTAAATAGTAATGACAATTAGTTAACTAATCTACAAATTGTATATAAGTAGTTTGTACATTTTTAATTCTTATTCATTTAATAATATCTTCTCTCTTCCTTCTTCATCTCTCTCTCAAGCTCCATTGTCATGGAGTAATATCAAATCAATGGAATAGTGTTAGTTTACATTTCATCCTAAGTCCTTCTGGCACTTGGGTGTATATTTAATTTGATCATCATCGTAGGTCTCAAGTCAGCCATCATATCTCTAAATCAAGCTCTTCGAAGGGGGTTGATTGTCCTAATCCTTATTAGTGATTATTTTTTCTAGTCTCAGTTTCTTTTGGTTGATTGTTCTTAACGTTTGCAACCATCCAAAAGATCATTTTTATGAAAGAACCATTATGCACAATGATTTGCACCTTCATGTGAAGTTTTATCATGAAAAATAGTCATTATTCCTATTTTAGATCGATCTCATTACTCTAATTATAATGTTTAGCTACTTATAATTAGTTACAACGAACAAAAACATTATAAACCTTAAATTGTAGATTTGTAGTACTTGCGAGAATCTCTTGTTCATTCAAATGAAATAGCTATATTAGCACTATTTTGGCCTCATTTCTATATTGAGTGTTTTACTTTGGATTTTGTTCCTCTTTTAGTAATTAATATTCCCCGTGTTTCACAAAGAATGATCTAATTTGATTTGATACGAAGTTTAAGAATGTAAAGAAGACTTTTAAATCTTGTGATTTTAACTTAAGTTAGGTCAAATGTACAAAATTGTCCTTTGATCAAGTGGCCTAACACACCACGTGAAAAACTGAAATTAAAATGTTATAAAAAAAATGTTATTTTTCTATGAAACAAACTAAAAAAGGAAAGGAGGTAATTCTTTTTAAAAGGGAGGGAGTAGTAATTAAGCTTGGAATTTTGAACATCATTTTATAATCAATCTATTAATGAAGTTACAAGGTTCATTGAGGCTTTGCATTTCTTTTTCACTTTGTATATCTTGCTTGAATTATTTGATTTTAGCATACTTTTAGCAAACATTACATAAACATATATTAAAAAATTAAATTAAAAATAATACGATAAATCAATACTTGAAAAATAATATTAGAAAGTATTTGATCTTAAGCAAGTATTGGCATATAGAAATATAAATAATTTTATTCGTATATTTTGTAAGTTGTAATTTGTATATATTGTGTAGGGGTGAGCATCGGTCTGTTCGATTCGTTTTTATACATAATCGGTTCGGTTTATCGGTTTTTGGTTCTAAAATATGCTAACCCAATAACAAACCAATAAAAATTTTTTTATCGGTTTATCCATTTTTGATGTTATCGGTTCGGTTTCGGTTAACCCAATAAGAAAATGTCGATCAAATAATATATAATATTACGTATGTTATAATTACATGTTACCAACTTACCGTCAAAACATAATAGAAAACTTTGAATATTGATCAAATTACTAACATTCACAAAGTTGCAAAAGCTATTGCCTACAATTACGAACTAGAATTAAAACTAAAATAAAATATTTCAATGAGACAATCTTGAACAGTTGCTTGCTCCACCAGATAATCAACAAAGTTCTTAACAATTTCCTAACAAAAAAATCACATAGCCTGAAAAACTTATATTGAATCTATTTATGTATTAAATTATGTATATTTAATATTGAGGAAGGGTAAAGTAGTAAATAACTATCATCTTATTGGGTTATCGGTTTACCCAATAACCCAATAGGAAAAACCAAAACTGACCCAATAACCCAATAATTATTTTCTCTAAACTCATTAAAAATCCAATAACCCAATTACCCAATAACAATAACCCAATAACATTTTATCGGTTCGGTTTATTGGTCGGTTCAATTTTTGCACACCCCTAATATTGTGGGTTGTTAACGGTATATATTGAATATATTATGTGTATATTTGTGAATATCATTTATATGTACATATATTTGGGTATATCGTCTATTTTAAATATATCTTATATATATAGTATATATTTTGTGAATGTCCTATCTATCTAGAGCTACTTTCACATAAAATAAACATAAAAATCATATTTATATGTTATAATTGTAGTTTGCATATTTGCGCTCCATAGCAAATAAATAAATATATTTTTCGCTATAATACAAAAGAAAGCAGTTGTATAATTTGCTATACATATACAAAAGAAAACAATTATATAATATGTTTCGGCATACATATACAATAAATCAATTGTATAATGTGTTTGTATAAAGCGAGAAAGAGAGAAAGACAAAAGCGAACTACGTAGGGAAATATTCGTATTGTATAATTATAAGTGCGCGCATAAGACAAAGATATATGTATTTGCATGTGTATATACAATTTTCTCTGGCATTATACAAACAACAACACAATTTATTGTTGGATTTTATTTGCCTTGATTTCTTACCATAAATAGGTTTTCCTTTTAGGAAAAAGTTTTGGATTGACTAATCATTTTCTTGTAGGAAAAAGTTTAGGACTCTATAAATAGAGGCATGTTCCTTCTAACTTAATCAGCATTCACAATGTAGTTTTAAGGGCTTTGAGAGTTTTGGTTAGGGGGAGAATTTATGGGTCACAAGCTTGGTACGTTATCACTTGTGTGAACCTATCATGTATTCCGAGTGAATTGGTTGAGGTTGTTTCTCTCTGTATTTTATACTCTCATGTTTATAGTGGATTGCTCATATCCTTTGTGGACGTAGGTCAATTGACCGAACCACGTTAGATCTTTGTGTCTTTTGGTATATTTCTCGTTGTCTTCTTACTCGTGGTCTTTTGAGATTTGCTTTGCTAGATTCCGAGTTTACACCTGCTTATTTCCGATCCTAACATTTATACATTTCTGTTTGTATAAGCCAGAGAGGTGAAGAAGAGACTGATGATATCTGGGAGAGTGGCGAGCGAGATCTAGGAGAGGGGAACAAAAATATATGTATATATATAATTTTCTCTTGCTTTATACAACACAAATGTATTTTATACATTTGCGTTTTGTATAAAAACGAGAGTGGCAAGGGAGAGACTACTGAGAGAGGTGAGCGAGCTAGATTCACCATGGAAAGAGCAAAATAGCAACAATTTCTTACAGGGTACAATTAAATCAAACTGTAATTATGACATTTTATTTGAATTAATAGTTTGCAATTATATACATTTTTCCCGTCTATATATTGCATGTATATTGTGTATATGTTTATACACTATATATATATATATATATATATATATATATAA